GTTTTGCGTGCATTGGGGTGTACTCTTATGACCACACGTGCTCGAGAGGACGGAGCATTATTCCCGCAGGACCGATCACCGATGGCCAATCGTTCCTTCCGAGGGTGGGTGGGTGGGTGGTACTTGTTGCGTCCGCAAAGCGTTTTGCTCTTTCTTATTTGTTGCTTTTGGGGGGGATGCATACTGCAACTGCTTGAAAGGTGAAAGTACAACCCTGAGGGAGGGAGTCACAAGCAAAAAAAACAAGTACGACATCGTAGATCGATCAAGCTTGTTACGAAGAACTTGCCGGCTCCAATGTGTCAGACCCGGCCTGGCTGCCGGATCGACAAGCAACACACAAGAACAAAACACTCCCATATTCCTACTTGAAGGAGCAAACACACTATATTGCCGGTTCCGGCGCACTTGCGGCTGTAGACCACTCTTTCAACCTTCAAAAAACAAACACAAAACAATAAAACGCCGTGCAAATAGTACATATAAATAAAATATTAACTTCGAAGTAGCTATTACCCCGAGAGCAGGAAAGCTCATCATAACAAAAACAACAAGTCGGCACACACCTGAGCCGTCCTCCGCCCCTCGAGAGGGTCCCTGCACACCCCTTGCGACACCTCCGGGTCCCGCTTCGGCCACTCGATGACCGGGGGGCAGATGGACCAAGGTTCGGGGAAGTTGTCCATGACGATGCTCATGATGGTGGAGTACTGGGACCGCGTCAGGCTGGCGTCGAGCTCGTCGATGAGGACGGTCACGTCCAGAGCTTCCTTGGCGAACATGGGGTCCCTGGCCGTGGAAGAAAAATAATAATAGAATAAAAAACACGTTTGTATTGTTTCCATTCTTTTCCCACGAAATCGAGTTTTTTGTTATCGTGTTCGGTTCGTTTTTCACTTTCGTGCGAGGTTTTATCGAAACTTTCCGTGCAGATGGTCCTCGAAGTCGTACGTGCCAGAGCGCAGCAGGGGCATTCGGGGCTTTCGGCTGGTTCGACCTTCTGTGTGTGTGGGAATGATTATTCCCCATCTATCGTGAAGCCAGTCTACACGTACCTGTATACACTTGACGCATCACATCAGCAGGGGCCACACAGACAAGAGGGAGGTATTCTATAATATTTGTACGATCTCGCGTTCCCCCTAGGTAGCACTGGCATGATATACCATGCACCATACGGCGGTACAAACAAATACCATAAGCCGGTACTCTTTCTGCGACTCAAGCAGATTTTCTGAAACAAACTACCACTACATCGCTCATGGCTATGGCCACCTCTCTCTTCCCCTCCCCGCACCTGTTGGGCAGGAAACCGAGCGAGTCCCACACCCCCGGAAACATCCCGGACTCTTTCGCGGCGCCCCCGCCGCACCAGGGGCGCAGGGGCGTTGCCACCACCATCCACGCACGCAGGGAGAGGTCCTCCGCGACGAGGCTCGCCGAGCGGTAAGAGCGAATCGTGACGCCGCTGGCCACCATGTCGAAGCGCGAAGGGGCGGGTGGGACCCTGCATGACCGCAGCATGCGCACAAGTGCGTAAATAAACAACACAATTAGAGTGTAAGAAAGAAACACGTTTCGAAACGTTGCTACTGCTGCTGTGTATTGATGGCATTTTTTTCTCTTTTTGTGGGGAGGGGGAAGAATGACAACGATGCAGCATCGACCGCACTCACCGCCGGAGGAATGAACAGACGCTACCTAGTAGTGTTTTTCGTTTCATGGCAAGACAAATACACCTATATGCCGTACCATGCTGCATGCCACGAGAGTGCCGGGAGGGGGAGGGAACCTGTCTCCGCAAAAAAGGCGGCAGACAAAGTCGAGTAATGTTGGTGACAACCGTACTGACGTCACACGACCACGCTCCTTGTGGACAGACATAAGGAGGCGTGACGAAGCTAAACTTGGGGCATCGTTTCGATTTGCACTGGGGCGACATGTTTGGCTGCGCCTGTTGGCTCAAGCATATCATCCATCCCTGCTTCACGTCAACGAGCACTCTGTACCCCTTGCGTGTGCTGCTGCGCAACCGGCCTCGCCCCTCAATAACACGACTGTCAACAACTGCGACTGTTCGCAAAATAATCAACATTAGCATCAACGTCTACGAGGACAACAGCAGCACCAACAACGACGGCGACGACGGCAAAGACACAGCAGCACCACCTCCACCAGCACTAGCAGCAGCACCACCAACACCAACACCAACACCAACAACACCAACAACACCAACACCAACACCTCCACCACCAACACCACCAACACCAACAACAACACCTCCACCACCACCACCACCACCAACAGCAACAGCCTTCACAACAACAACAACAACAACAACAACAACAGCTGTCACAAACAACCACCACCACCTGCTGGGCCGGTGTGCCTCGAAGCGGGCCTTCTCCGACTGCGCCGTCCTCTCCGCGTTGGCCTCCCGCCGGACCGACCCAAGCCGCGACCTCACGCGCTTCAGCGTCTCCACCCTCTCGTCAAGAGAGAGCTTCAGGTCCCCCACTCGGTTCACCTGGTCCCATCAGAACAGATAGGCAACGCGTGAGTGCGAGCGTAAGATACTCATGTATTATCGTATGAGGAACGGATCTGGGAACGTTCTAAACAATTTCCAGAACCGTGCACAAACAAAAGAACAGATATCAGAGAAGGAAAATTTCAGTATCACTTCTTTTGTGCGACCGAGTGCCGACACGGAAAACAGGAGGCGAGAGGGAGAAAAGTAAAAGCAGTTCGAACGTGCGTCCCGTACGTGCGTGTGTGCATTGGGGTTATCTAGCGTGCTGGGAGGAAGACCGCGCGCTGAACCGGAGGACCGTCGGACGGAAAATCACTCCAAAATCTGGGCGGACATGTCGTTGCCATTCTTTACCCGCACGCGGACGGACCGCCGCCATCGCGAGGATTTCATCATAAATCTACAAGGGGCGCCTCCGGAGTGGGCCCGTCAGAGCATTAGCAGCAGTAATAGTGTAATCAAGGCGTGAAGCAAGATGAAAGCAACGCACGCGTTGGTTTGAATCACCGGCCGGCTGCCACCAACAACGTTTCCCAACGAAAAACTGTAAACACTATACTAAAATAGAGAGAGAGGGGGGGGGGGGGGGATCTTATCCCTACCCCCAACCCTAACCCCCCCAACCAAAACCAAGCGAAGGGAACTGGCGCGAACAACACACCTGGTTGAAGACGTCCATCACCGCGGACACGCGACCCCCGTCCCCCGTCCCCCCGTCGGCGCCACCGGTGGCGGCGGCGGCGGCGGCGGCTGCCTCCAGCTGCTGCTGGTGCTTTTCGGCTACGCTCAAGGCCGCCTCCGCGGTGACGAGCTCCGCCCTGGTCTTACGTTCCGCCGCGCTCTCTTGGTCCTCCTGGGACATGAGCTCCGATTCGCGGGCGACCAGGCGTTCAAGGGCCTGATGGCGGGGGGGGGGGTGTACTCATAGTCGTGCATGCCGTAGTCGTTTGACCATTGACCTCGCATCCCTACAAAGCCGGGACGGAGCACGCCGGGTTCTCACCGGACCAGGCTCTCACATCACCAAGCGCGAAGCGCCGTGAGGTATTTGGCGAGTCGCATGAAGGGTGAGCTGCATCCTGCTAAGGGTGTTCGGCATCTTGTGCTTACTTCCTTGCGTACGGATGACAGCTACGTATGACTTAATTTATTTTCTGGTGCTTTCACTTCCAGAGACAGTTGTAAGCACTGTGTAACTGCCTCGAGGAAGCTTGACCATTTTAACACAACGTGGTCCGATCATCCCCCGTTGCGCGGAGTGAGGTTTCTCGACCCCGCACAACATGATCTACTCGACCACCATTATGGTTACCGCCAAAAAAAAAAACGAGGTAAAAAAAAAAAAACGGTAACCTGGTTGCCGAGTTCACGAAGTGAATTGGCTTGTTTTACAACGTCGTTGCCAAGCGACGAAAACCCAATCCCGATGGCAAACACCGAGGGGGGGGGGGGTATTCATGTTTTGCATGCGTTAGCGGTTAGACGATTGACCACGCGTCCTCGAGAGGACCGAGCAGGGGTCTGTTCAAACCGACGGCAAGGGTTTGTTCAAACCAACGGCAAGCGTGAACTGAATGGGCATGGGGAGAGAGGAGGGAACAATGATAGTCCCGGCGGAGAGAAAACGAAAACGGGGGGGCGGACGATGCTCATGAGAATCAAAAAGGATGATCGGTGTAATTGTAAGCACATTTTTCTTTGCCATTGGCATCTGTATGCCCAAAGGCGTCAACGTGCCTTGCGGCATCCCACAGAAATTGTTCACAAAAAAGTGGTGCCGAACATTGTCAACTACGTTGTCTGCAGTGCGCCCAGGACAAAAACGACGATGACGCGGACTTTGGTGCATTGCTTGGGGGGGGGGCGGGGTCCAAAAACGGCGCCACGCACTGCAAGCAAGCAGCACCGCTCGCTGTACAAGGGAACAGCCCCACAGGTAGAAGTAAGCGTTTACAGCCAAAAGCAGCACCGCTTGCCAAGCGAAACAAAAACAACACTCACCTGTCCATCTTCCACGGCCTCGTCCTCGAACAGCAGCAGCACGGGCTCCTCCTCCTCCCCCTCCCGTCCGCCCCAGCCCTTGGCCTCTCCGGGGAAGAGCCCCGTGTACACGAAGTCCGTGGGCTCGCCCTCTTCCCACTCCGCCCCTTCCCCGTCCCTCCCCCCGTCCCCGTCGTCGCCACCCATCCCGCCCTCCCCAAGGCCCACTCCCAGGGCGCGACCCCTCCGCTTCCCTGAGGCCTGAGCGGCGGTGCCCGGCGGTAACGCCGCCGCGGACGGCGAGTCGCCACTTCTTGTGTCCTCGGAGGGGGTGGTGGGGTTTCCGGCGGCGGGTTGTAGGCGTCGGCGCAGGGGTGGCCGGAAGAGGCAGAGCCGGGGGATCTGTCGGAGGAAAAACGCACGCGAGAGAGAGAGAGGGGGGTTTGTCTCGGTGGTGGCGTTGGATAACGGGGGCGCGGGGGGGGGGGGGGGGAAAAACAACCCCCCCGCGCGTGGAAGCCTGCCCGCCTGGGGGGGTCCCTGTGAAGGGGACGGGCAAAAAAAGACCCCCGGGGGGGGGGG